TGTGTGTGTGTGTGTGTGTGTGTGTGTGTGTGTGTGTGTGTGTGTGTGTTATTCTTTCTCTTTCTTTTTTTTTTGGATAGTAGGGTGGCAGAGTACAGGTGGGCCGCCAATCATTGGCAATCAACTGGCAATCAACTGTCAATCACTGCCAATCGACTGCCGATCATTGTCAATCTCACTGCCACGTCAGCGCCCTCTGAACCACTACCTTGTTCTGCCAAATCGAACGTCAGGTCATGATCCCTCCATGGGGACAAGGGAGTTGGACCGACCGGGACGTACCATCTTCAACCGAATATAAAGCGCCGTAGTAACTTCGACTGCATCTGGACTACAAGTTGCCCCAAATACAGCACCTATAATGACCGCCGCAGTCATTATTGCTGCAGCATCTGGACTGAAAGTCGTCCCAAAACACGGTTATAATGACCGGGGGCGCTCTATTCGGACCAAGACCGTAGTCTCACTGGGACTGGAATTATACAGCGAGGGAGCAGGATCAGAAGCCCACGCCTGCATGTCGTCACTGCCTCTGTTCCCCGTATAGAGCGCATGGGCACTATTACAATCTGATGTATTTTTGAAAATGCGGTGTCTGTCACCTCTCCTCATCGCAAACGTAGACAAGGTTATAAGTATGCTCATGCAATACGATATTGTTTTTTTTTTTTAATATTTGATTATTTATTCTTTTAATGCTATGTGACGTTGTATTCGTCTGAAAAGATATAAAAAAAAGAACCCTTCAACGACATGCCACCACACAGCGCAACGATCTGTTACCTGTGATAACGACCATCTAGTAGTAGTACTAGTAGTAGTACTAGTAGTAGTAGTAGTAGTAGTAGTAGATGGTAGTGGTAGTAGAACTCAACTGCCGCTGAATCAATGGCTATCGTCGAGACTCTCTGCTTCTATCAAGAAACCCACACCGAGGCTTCATCAAAAAAAGACCGAAGCGTTTTCAAAATGACACCTCTCTAGAAAGCGTACTTCACCTCTCTAGAAAGCGTACTTCACCTCTCTAGAAAGCGTACTTCTCTCCCTCTCCTGTCTGTTCCCTCATCCTCTGTCCGTTTGTCCTTGTCTGAATCAGATTATGGCCCCGTGTGTGTATGTCTAAACAACAAAGATTACTATCGCGCAAGTCGCGCAACAAAAACTGGCACACACACACACACACACACACACACACACACACACACACACACACACACACACACACACACACACACACACACACACACACACACACA